ATATATAGCAATAGAAGCTCACATCAAGAAACAAGAAAGAACTCAAAGAAACAACCTAATCTCGAAGCTCAAAGATCTAGAAAAAGAACAACAAAAAAACCCCAAAACCAGTAGAAGAAAAGAAATAATAAAAACCAAAGCAGAAATAAATGAAATTGAAACTAAAAAAACAATCCAAAAGATCAATGAAACCAAGAGCTGGTTCTTTGAAAAAATCAATAAAATAGACAAACCCCTAGCCAGGCTCACAAAGGAAAAAAGGGAGAAAGCACAAATAAACAGGATCAGAAATGAAAGAGGAGAAATCACAACGGACACAGCAGAAATCAAAAGAATAATCAGTAACTACTATGAACAATTATATGGAAACAAGTTCAACAATCTAGAGGAGATGGACAAATTCCTACAACTCTACAATCACCCAAAGCTAGATAAAGAAGAAATAGAACACCTAAACAGACCAATTACAAGCAGCGAAATTGAAATGGTAATCAAAAACCTCCCCCAAAACAAAAGCCCAGGACCAGATGGATTTACAAATGAATTCTACCAAACATTCAGAGACGAATTAGTGCCTATCCTTCACAAACTCTTCCAAAAAATTGAGAAGGAAGGGACAATACCAAACACGTTCTATGAAGCCAACATTACACTAATACCAAAACCGAACAAGGACAACACAAAAAAGGAAAACTACAGGCCAATCTCCCTAATGAACACTGATGCAAAAATCCTCAATAAAATTTTAGCTATCAGAATCCAACAATGTATCCATAAGATAATTCACCATGACCAAGTAGGATTCATTCCAGGAACACAAGGATGGTTTAACATCCGAAAATCAATCAACGTTATCCAACACATCAACAAAAAGAAATATAAAAACCATATGATAATATCAATAGATGCTGAGAAAGCTTTCGACAAAGTGCAACACCCATTCATGATAAAAGCCCTTGAAATTCTGGGGATACAAGGAACATACCTCAACATCATAAAGGCCATCTATGACAAGCCAACAGCCAGTATCATTCTCAATGGTGAAAAGCTGAAAGCAATTCCATTAAGATCTGGAACAAGACAAGGATGTCCACTCTCACCACTGCTTTTCAATATAATACTAGAAGTCCTAGCCAGAGCAATAAGACAAGAGAAAGACATCCAAGGAATCCAAATAGGAAAAGAAGAAGTCAAACTATCACTATTTGCAGATGATATGATATTATACATAGAGAACCCCAAAAACTCCACAGAAAAACTAATTCAACTCATCAATCAGTTCAGTAAAGTGGCAGGATACAAAATCAACACGCAAAAGTCAGTAGCCTTCCTATACACAAACAATAAATCTGAAGAAGAAGAAATCAAAAAAACCATCACTTTTGTTATTGAAACAAAAAAATCAAATATTTGGGAATAAATCTAACAAAAGAGGTAAAGGACCTATACAAAGAAAACTATAAAACACTGTTAAAAGAAATAGAAGAAGACATAAAGAAATAGAAAGACATCCCCTGCTCATGGATTGGAAGAATAAACATTATTAAAATGGCCATCCTTCCAAAAGCAATATATAGATTCAATGCTATTCCAATCAAAATTTCAATGTCATTCTTCAAAGAAATAGAACAATTATTGATGAAATTCATATGGAATCACAAAAAACCCCGAATAGCCAAAGCTCTCTTGAAAAAAAAAGAAGGGAATGGAGGCATCACACTCCCAGACTTCAAACTATACTACAAAGCCATAATCATCAAAACTGCATGTTATTGGAACAAGAACAGTCATACAGACCAATGGAATCGAATAGAAAATCCAGAAATAAACCCATAGATTTATGGTCAACTAATCTTTGACAAAGGAGCAAAGACTATGCATTGGAGCAAAGAAAGTTTGTTCAATAAATGGTGCTGGGAAAACTGGGTCGCTACATGCAAAAGAATGAAGCTTGACCACTACCTCACACCATACACAAAAATCAACTCAAAATAGATTAAAGAACTAGACATAAGACCTGAAACCATAAAATATATAGAAGGAAATATAGGTGAAACACTACGTGATTTGCACATCAAAGACATCTTTACAGACACATCACCCAAAGCAGTGATAGTGAAGGCAAAGATAAACAGCTGGGACTACATCAAATTAAAAAGCTTCTGCACAGCAAAAGAGACAATAACAAAAACAAAGAGAAACCCCACCAACTGGGAGAACATTTTTGCACCCAACACTATTGATAAAGGACTGATCACAAAAATCTGCAAAGAGCTGATGAGACTCAACAACAACAAAGAAAATAATCCAGTCAAAAAATGGGCAGAAGAGCTAAAAAGAAACTTCTCTGAAGAGGAAATGCAAATGGCCAACAGGCATATGAAAAAATGTTCAACATCACTTGTCATCAGGGAAATGCAAATCAAAACTACCATGAGATACCATCTTACACCAGTGAGAATGGCACATATTAAAAAAACTAGCAACAACAAATGTTGGCGAGGGTGTGGAGAAAAAGGAACTCTTCTGCACTGTTGGTGGGAGTGCGAACTGGTCCAACCACTGTGGAGAGCTGTCTGGAGATTTCTGGAACTACTAAACATAGAGCTTCCATATGATCCAGCAATTCCACTCCTAGGTTTTTACCCAAAGGACACAGAAACATCAATTCCAAAGAACACCTGCACCCCTATGTTTATAGCAGCACTATTTACAATAGCTAAGCTTTGGAAACAACCTAAATGCCCAAAAATAGATGACTGGATCAAGAAGATGTGGTACATATATACCATGGAATATTACTCAGCATTCAAAAAAGATAAACACATGCAATTTGCAGCAACATGGATGGCGTTGGAAGGGATCATGCTCAGCGACATAAGCCAGAAAGAAAAAGAAAAATACCGGATGGTCTCACTCATAGCAGGAATCTAGAAAACTTAAATAAGGGACCAGGAAAATGAATAACTGTAAGAAAGTGAAAATCAAAATCAACAAAAAACTATGAACCAGAGACACTTTTAGGGGGGCGGGGACGGGAGGGGAGGGATTGGGGTCAGAATGGGGGGCTGCAATTGTATGGGGATTATAACAATAAAATTTATTATTTAAAAAAAAATTAAAAAAAATTCTCAAAAAAAAAAAATTACTAGCATTTTAAAAAAAAATATATTCCTTCTTTTCCCTTCCCGTTGGTTCCCTCTGCTGTGGAATAAATTTGTGTGTCCCTCCAAAATTCAGATGCTGACATGTCATCCCTTATATCACAATATGTGAGGTGGGATTTCTGTGGGATAATTAGGTCATAAGGGTGGAATGGTTCACTTATAAAAGAGACCCTAGAGAGAGAGCCAGATTTCTCTTCTCCCTTTTGCCATGTAAGGACAGACCCAGATTTTAGAAACCCAAAAGAGAGCTCCCTACCAGAACCCCCCTATGCTGGTGCCCTGATCTGGGACCTCCAGATCTTCGAGAAATAAACTTAGTTTTTTTTTGTTTGTTTGTTTTTAAAGATTTATTTATTTATTTATTTATTTATTTATTTATAGAAGAACCAGGGTACAGGCCAGATGTGTGGGATGGTGAGAGGATTCACCAGAGACAGAGCGGGGAACAGAACAGGCAGACTGACAAAATACACTGTTGAGGGGAGCAGCGGGTAAGACAGGAGAGGTCTGCTTTGCCATGTGGGACCCTCTCGGGCCGGCCGGTATCCAACCGACGCTGAAGAGGCTGTGGACAGCTTCACAGTGTTGCCCTCAACCATCTGTGCCACCAGGGGAGGCCCAAGTTATGTTGTTTATAAGTCACTCAACCTATGGTACTTTGCTGTAGTAGTCCAAACTGACTAGACCTTTCCTCTCCCTTCCCTCCCTTTCTCTCCTATTCTCTCTCCCACACTTCCCTCTCCCTCCAGCTTGGCCTCTACCTCTCAAATTGTAATTGTTAATGCAGATCCATAAAGTCTTGGCAGAAGAAAGAAAGAATGAAGGCCTTGTTAAAGAGTGATGGATTATAGATACAAATTACAAGCCTCCAAATGTTTTTTTTTATCTGAAGGTTAAAAAAAAATTTAATTATATCTCACATTTCTAAAGCACTGGGTGCTTCATCCTTTTTGCACAATAGTCTCACAGAAAAAGATGTAATTAGAATAAGGAGTTAAACAAAAATAACTGGAACACACCCCATTCCCTGCCCTCAGATAACTGAACTTGCCTTGGAATATGCTTTTTAGGTTCAAAGATCATTCTAGGCTTTATCGGTAGTATTAATTTTGCCAAATTATAAAGGTCTATGATATTTCCTATTGTATTCAATGAAATAAGTCACACTTTTTGTTTCTTTCCAAATCCTTAAGTAAAATTATGGAAGGCAGTGGGGAATCCATACTTCAGTATGCATAGGTTCTCCTGCCAATAGCAGAATTAAATGGAAGCATTCCATACCCCCCAAAACCAGGACAGTGCCCTAAAACATCTGTAAACACTTACATTTGCATTCACTGTGATAAAATTAAATTGAATTTAAAAATTGGGAATTAACTGTAACTATAACAACACAGCTGTTTTGCTTCTCTGCAAAATTAACTTCACAGTAAAACAAAGCTAGTAATCCTTAGACCCAGTTCCATATTTAAACAGTTAAATTTCCCATGAACTTAAGTTATCTCTTTTCCAGCTTACTGAAGGATTTATGTGAGTGACTGGTAGTCTGTAAATTAGGAAAGCAGGGACTCCCCTCCACAGCAGTCATTAAGGGTCACATATTCATGTATTTAAAGATTATATCAAAGCTTTTCTTTTTCCATTTTGCCATAGTTTTTAATAATCTTGTTGGTTTTCTTTGAAGGTGAAAAAGGCAGGATTTGCTTTTCAGTCTTCTTTTTGGGCTGAATGAGTAACGCTCAGCATATGAATGTTGGCTAGTAATCTTTTCCATTTTTAAGTTCTTACATTTCAAACACTTTAATACACAATACAAACAAGGCAGAAACTTACGACAAGTCCAGATTTTTTTTTGGCGCACAATATTCCACATATGCCACAAAGAAGAAACTGAAAAGAAAAAGAAGAACAATTATTTCATATCCAAAGATAAGAGAACCCCTAGTTTTTAATTTAAAGTTCACTCATGACACTTGCTCTGGGAAGCTCAGAAATTTTACTATCCTATCAAAAGTTGGAAAGGAAAATATCTCCTTCTAGAATAGGAAGGGATAAAAATTCAAACGCTAAATCTATATATTCAAGGTTAATATAAATAATTAATATAATAATTATGTACTAAATATAAATAATTAATATAATTATTTAATATAAATAATTATGTACTAAATAGAAAATAGAATCAAGTTTTACCACCAGGCAAAACTATGAACTAAATGAATTTAGAGTGTTGGTCATCCTGTTTACATTTCTTGTCTTCTTATTCCTTCTTACTTTCTCAGGGAAAAAAGTGGTACAATGCATTCATTCATAAGAAGCAATTAGGTATCAATTGGCTTAATACCAGCAGGGAATCTATCACCAATAGATCTATCACCAACATCTCCAGCAGGGAGATGTTTTTCTACAGAGACATTCTTTTACCTTTCAAACTATGTCAGATAAAATAGCTACCTCCTCATCCTACTGATAATAATGCCTTTGCGGATATATCAGAAGAACAAGGGAATGAAGTTATCGATGGCATGTCATTTCTTACATATAAACACACTGATGACATAATTACTTCGCAAAAGCAGCTGCAAAGCATTATTTACCAACAACACAGTAGTAGACATTTTGGTTATCAGAAAAGAGTAAACTGTTTAATTTGGATGGAAACATAGGGCCATTTGAATGCACATTTGTACATACTTTTAGGTGAGGTAAACCATACACATAAAATAATACACTCATTAATAAGTCCATAAAGGGTTATCATATTTGTAAAGAAAATTTTGCATGTGACTAAACCTATTGCCCTTAGATTTTTCCCTAAAATAACATAAATGATTTTAACTGAGTATTTCACATGTGGATAGAATTTTAATAATACACATCCAAAATATTCTAAGGATTATCTGAAATAACATGTTTGTGAGCAGCATCAGCAAAATTTGATTTAAAAAGTGTGTAAGGGAAGTTTTCCTTCCCAAAGAAACATTTTATATCAGGGATCAAAATGATTATAAGGCCAGCAATGATGTAGCAAGACAGTTAGATCAGAGAGCACAAGGATATAAAATAATTTGGTATATACTATAACTGACCTTTGAAATTAATGGAGAGAGGTTCAGGATCATTTACTCAATAAATGAAATAAGAGCAATTTGCTAACCTTCCAAAACATCAGATATTAGAAGAGCTATTAAACTCTTTGAATATTGGAATGTATAAAAATTTATAAATGTGGCAGCAGAAAAGATGAAGTCAAATATTTATGCAATTTTGGAGGAGTGGGAAGGATTTTCTAAACATAGTGCCAAAGTCATAGACAAAAATGGAAAGTACTTATAAATATTAATACATAGCATTATAATTTTGATAGCCAAAAATATACTAACACTCAAAATATCAAAATAGCAAAATGCATCATTTTGCTCAAAGGCAAAAAATAAAATGGGATTATATTCAGAAAGCATATGACAAAGGGTTAACATACTATATAAATAGTTATAAAAAGATGTTTTAAATACCATAAAACCATGACACCATAGAAACTCAAGCTTTTATAGATCTTGAATATTTGCCTGATTTTCAGAAAGCTAATAAACTTTTTCTAAGTGACCATTTCTCAACTCCCATCTGTGTCCTAGGTCTAGATGATCTTGTACCAGATCTGATCTCATCTTACACTGTTCAGGCTGTGCTCAAGCAATTTCAGTTTGGACCAGTTCTGCACCTCTCACTGCTTCCAAGCTTCAGATCAAAGACTCCGCCTGTCCTTTTCCTGGTTTCACGGACTAACCCAATATTCACCCTGAAAGTCCATTCACCCAGAACTCATTCTTGAAATAATTTGAACACAGTGTAGTTTTGTGTTCCTTGGGCCTCCTTTGAAATCTATAAACATTGTCATTAGTTATTTACAGCAAAGCCCAAAGGGATCTTAGGAGCATAAGCAGAGTTCTCCATTCCAGTCATTTCATTAGAACATTTAGATGGCAATGAAATTGCTACTTCCTGCTGTCTCACTTCCCTGAGACTAAGCTACGAAATGGGAGCTCAGGGATTAGGAGAGGAAAGGTAGAAAAGAAGGGGAATCAAACGATATTTTTCTACTCTATCAGGCATGGAGAGTTAAATGCTATTTGATAGTTACTTCTATTAAAGTAGCCAAAATCCACATTCCTTAGAGGAAGCCTGTAATCTGAGAAAAAAATAGACACATGTAATGCTAATTATATAAAATCATAGAATTTCTGAGGAGGCTCTAAGAGACCTGGACTCAAGTTTAGAGAGTTTACAGAGAAGAGAAAAAGAGGCACAAAAAGAAATAGATAATTTTTTACTTCAATGACTACCTTTACTCCAGGTTGTAACACTGGAATTCATTAAAAAATGAACTAATTCACCCCTTGCAGCTTAAACATGCAACTAGAGGTCCAGAGAGGTTTAGTGACCTGTTCAGGGTTACACAGGGAGGTCACAAGTCACATATATAATCTAAGACTTTAAGTTTCTCAGTTAATTTACTTCTGCTAATATAAATGAAATGCACTTAAAAAGGATTTTTCAGTGATAGTGTGGTGCGCATTATACTAGCAAATCCAGCCAGAAGTGCTCAATGAATACTTGATGCTTGCAATTGTTCTCTTTGCTCTTTCCCTTGTTGTTAATTTTTGTTGTAATAAAAATAATTTTAAGTTTATCCAATGACATTACATTCTAAAATTAAGCTTACCTTATTATAGAAGGGAAATTGTTACAGTATTTCAAAATACTTTCTTTTCTCAATATAACTTTATCCAGGATGCAACAAAGCCCTCACCCACTTATGGAAATTATGTAAACCAAATTTTGGAAATTATGGAAAATATAGACAAGACAATTTAGTTTTAAAAATGCAAAAATGATGAGTGAGTATACTACTTAACATGAGAAAATATGGCTATATCTGAGAAGATCGACTGTTAAATGTTTAGAGACAGCAAAAGTTATTTGCCTTGCTCTTACTGTGAAGCAATATAAATGCAGTGATCTAATGATACGGCAACAGGTGCAACTGTATAATAAAATTAGTTAGTCTTGCAAGTGGAATTTATTTGATTCCAATTCCAATTAAATTCAATAGATAACTAAGGTTTTGATTCACTATAGGAGGAAGTAGAGCTGTTGTGGAAATAGTATTCTATATTTTGAGGGGATTTTCTTAATAAAAGGTCCATAAAACATTTGGTTGTTTTTTTTGTTTTTGTTTTGTTTTTTGTTTGCTTTTTTTTTTTTTTTTTAGGATGTAGAAAGCCAGGAAGATGGCATTCACACCTTAACAATAAAACAACAGATAAACTATAGAAAGATAAATTCTCTGGAGACCATTTAAGAGCTGAGGTTCCAAGGCAGTGAAATAACCACAATTCTAAGGGAGCAGACCCCTCCAGGGAAAGTCTGAACATACAAACTATGTCACCTGTTGCAGAACATGGGTGAGAGACACTTGCCATACACATAGGTGGATGTATGGGGGAGCAAGCAAAGCTCTGCTTCTTCCTTAAGACCTCTCTTTTATAAAATAAATATTTTAAGTCCCTGTCAAGTGGATTGGCAGAACCTGTCATTTCCAGAGAATAAGCAAATATGAATTATTATTATAATAGGAAGGAAAAAAATCTTTTATACAGAGGGAAGGGCAAAAATTCATTTTGCGCCTAATAGCCTAGGGCTGAACTAAATGGCAATCATCACCACAGACAGAGAGGTAGGAACCTTCTGCTTAGAAGACCAACCTCAGCTAGGAGGCCAAGTTTGGTTGTCTCAGGGAGGAAGGTACAGATTACTGAGAATTCACAGCCTCTGAGGTCAGATGCACAGGGCTTTTCTAAGCTGAGATTGGATAGAATGACATAGAAACATCTACTCTACCTCTGTCTACCTGTTACCATGAACCTAACAAGCAGGAGGAACAAGTGAAAGCATTCTAGACCTAGTAAAATAGTGGTGATGGAGACCCCTCTGTGGTGGAGGAAAGCAGAGGTAACAGAAATTTCAAGGTGGGGCATTAACATTGAAAAATGTTGAGGCAACCCGAGCCCAGCACTACTGGAATTTGAGGACTAAGGTGCATCAAGACAATTGTCACAATAGTAAAATTCAGTTGCTCAATGTGATTCTATTTCTCATACTAAGAGTCTAAAACAAGATATTAAGATAAAATAATTTAAAATTCTGGAAAAAGTCTTTGAACTTTGAGCTATTGTATCCAGCTAATTCAAGCAAGAAACTACAGAACGACACATTCATTTGGGCACAGGCACCACAGCAGACTGAATTATGGCCCTCTGAAGATATCCATGCCGTAATTCCCAGAACCCATGAATGTTACCTGATATTGCAAAAAAAGGCTTTGTGAATGTGATTAAGGATCTTGAGACAGGAAAATTATAGCTACCTTCCTAGATAGGCCCTAAGTACAATTGCAGGATCTTTTTAAAAAGGGAGACATGAGAGTCAGAAGAGACAGAAGGTAATATGATGATATAGGAGTCAGACAGAAGGACACTGGATAGGCTACAATGGGAGTTTTGAAGATGGAGAAGAGTCATCAGGCAAAGGATGTAAGTTGCCTCTGCCAACTGGACAGGGTAGGGAAACTGAATTCTCCCCTGAAAGCTCCAGAAGGAATGCAGCTCTGCAGACCCATTTTGTACTTCTGGTTGCCATAACTATGAAAGGATAAATATCTGTTGTGGTAAATTGTTCCAGAAACTGCAGAGAACTAATATAGTTTCCAAAGTGTTATTTCACAAGATTGTCTTAAAGAATTCTTAGAAGCTGTACTTCAGGAAAGCAAAGGAATGTAAGAGTAAAAAAACAAATCAAATGAAACTGCATATCTATTAAATAAATTATTG